TCGGCTCAACAATAATTGCTAAAAGTTATGAAAAACCGGGTATTAACATTTCGCCAAATTTACATTTCACCAAATCCTTATAAAACCTACATTCCGCCAACTGGGTATTTCGCTAACTCCTTATTAAATGGATATTTCGCTACAGTTACGGTTAAATCGGCCCCTGACATCATTAACTCTTTCTTCAAAGGGAGGATAACTGAGATTTTCAATAAAACGGTCTCTGACATAAGGAAAATATTGGCAGGTGAAATCAGCTGGTTACATAGACCTGAATGTTAAATTTAATCCCAGACCAACGACCGTTGAAATTAAGAAGCGGATCAATAAATTTAATCGCCACAAAGGTGGACGAGCGGACCGGCCGTACCCCGATCCGGTTTTCGGATCGAACCGGGCATGGCGAAAATTTTTTAAGCTACTAAATTTGGCGCAAATTTTGGAAAACATTAAAATTTTTAAATAGAAGTTACCCAAAATGCTGAATTTTCGTCACCATCTGGGGGCTGCCGCCCCCAGACCCCTGCCTTTAGTGAATATATTCAATTCTTGGCTAACTTTTGGAGAATTCTGGTTAACACCTTTGGCATGGGTATGACATGAGCTATTACGTATTGCCCAATTTAACCATTTCGCATATGGCGAATTTTTGCAATTAAAAAATTGAATTAGGCGCCAATTAATGCAGATTTTCTTTTAAAATAGTCCAGAATTTTGCGGCCTTGCAAAAACTTTGCAAATTTTTATTGTAATTGACTCCAGTTGTCACTATTTTTCTTCGTTCATATTTTCCACTATATTACAATAGGTTTCCAAATTTTCGCTGCGGCGCATTTACCGATAGAATTTGCTCCGGTTATAAAATTTTATGATAATCTTTTTCTGAAAGTAGAGGATATTTTGACAAAGCATCTCAAATTTTTTTTCTAAAATGTTCTAGCTTAAACTTTTCTGACATGTTACTCTTTCTGAATACTTGAAGCATTTTTCATGACATTAGCACTTTACGCGACATTTGAAAAATTATCAAAATTTAAGCAGAAAATGTGGCTTTTTATGAAAAATTGGCAAAAATTCAAGGAAAACTTCTAAGCTTCTACAACTTGCAAATTAAGCCTAGGACAGTAAAAAATGGGCGAATTAAACTTAAAATGGCAAAATTAATAAAAACTACAATTTTTAAGAAATATGATTTCGGAAAATTTTTGCAAGTTTTAGGAGAAAAATTTACTTCCGGTTCGGACCGACTTTATGCTGGTCCGGACGGGGTAAAAAGTCGGTCTGCGTCCACCCTTGAAGCGACAAATAAAGTAACATTTTGTGTGAATAATTACATGATTACAGTTAACGCTGTAAAGAAAATACATTAAAAATATTTTTCCAACTGATAAACTTTCGCTATCCTTTCTGCATGTCCCTCCTTAATCTGCCTCCTTGCGATGCTTACTAAAAGGTCCAAATAAAAATACGTCCATCCGGTCGGTTAGTTTTGGCGTTGTGTATAGTAGTACCAGTTTCTCTCTTTTTGTCCATTTTTGCCATAGCAACATGCAGAACGCCAGAATGTGATTTTGCGCCAAAACTGATCTTGAGTTTTAGGTAAATACCTATAGGGGATACAAAATGTTGGCTAGCTCCCCTCAGCTATTTCACAATTTCAATGATTAAGACGGTATCCCCACCTTGCACTTCTCCGCCGTGCGTTTCGCCCTTGAAATCTCCCACCTTGTATTTTTTTCAACTAAACTATTTACACTTGTCTGTATAAAATTTTTTACATCAAATTTTTGCGTTAAAAATTTGCTTTGGCCGAGATTGGCTTTGCAAACCAGACATTTTAATTTGATTTTCCGGTACTTCCGGGTTATCTGTGTGCCAAAAGTCAAAATTTCAAAATAGCCTAGTCAGTGCCTTCAAAATGATTGTAAAAATGATGAGTCATTGCTTTTATTCCTCTATCTTACAAATTACAACCACTATAAAGCAATGACTCATCACTTTTACAATCATTTTGAAGGCACTGACTAGGCTATTTTGAAATTTTGACTTTTGGGCCACAGATAAGCCGGAAGTACCGATTTTCCAATAGCGGTAACTTCAAAAGTGTTTTAATTGTCAAATAAAACATTAAGATTTGCAATAAATTAGTTAATTCATTAGCATTCTGAATGCTAAAAAAGGAAGAGCTGCCTTTTGAGAGGAATGAAACTGTTGGCCAAACAGTTTCGATCATTTTCCAAGTTCCTCAAATCCTATCCAAATTTTCACGGATAATGTTTATCAAAAGTTCGATTCCGGTAATCATGGTAATATTCCTGTTGGCAGAGCTTGGCAAAGACGGTTCTGGACAATTTGGTATTCCCGGATTTGGTGGCTTTCCTCTAGGCATTCCTCAGTTTGGTGATCAATTCCTTTTTAGAGGACAGCAGCCGGCTGGAAACGGTGAGTTCGAATAAAGAAAATGTGGTAAGTACATATATGGACAATTTTAGGCTTTGTGCAGCCTGCAGGAAGCAAGCCAAATCCTGCCGCTAATGTAGCTCCAATTTTGGGCATCGCCGCTGCCACTATGGGAATTGTCGGCGGTACTCTGGGTATAGCGGCCGGTACTGCGAAACTCGCACATGGTGGCTGAGAATGGAAATTTTTTCCCGAAAGTTTGGGCTGTTTAAATATTTATTAATGAAAGCGATAAAAATTTTGTTGAACATACTCTTGGAAAAATAAATGAAACATTCGGCAAATCGGTAATAGTGCTTCAAAATGAGCAATAAAGCAGTGAGAATAGACATAATAATCAGAATACATAAAATTGTTAATATAATACAAAATACTAAAATTTTTATGGACTTTGCATGGTTTTCAAAAAAAAGTCTTTCAAATTATATAAATCTGTTACATGCAGACCCGTACCCATAAATGCCTGCTCTATGACGCTCCTTTGCGTTGAGTTAGTATGTCTTTATCGTTTCTGCCTATCTATGAGGGGGGGTTGATGAATCAGACACATGCAGTAAAGCTCCGGCGCTCAATTGTCATACAGCCGTGTAGATGTAAAAATATTAAATTAAAAATTTGATTGATATTAATTTTCTCAAAAGCGCGTCAAATCTTTCGAGAATTATTTCCCTTGCCAAATACAGTTGAACCTCGATTTACCGCACACACGATTTTCCGCACTTTCGATTAACCGGGCAATAAAGCCGTGAGAATAGACATAATAATAAGGATACATTACATTGTTAATATAATACAAAATATTAAAATTTTTATGGGCTTTGCAGGTTTTTCAAAAAAGTCTTTCAAATTATATAAATCGGTTACATTTATTGGGCAACATTCAGGTTTTTACTCATTTTTATCCGGTTTTTCTGATTTCTGTTAAAGAGTGAATCGGTGAGACCGCTGAGTTTTGAACGTCGGTAATTCTAGGACTTTCAGGATTATGACGAACCAGCGAGGTGTCATTCGGTTTCCCTCGATACGTTGCTCTTTTGGATATTACAATGCAACCTGGAATATGGGCCTTATTACTACCTTTCCGACAAGGATTGTTGTCCTATCGATGTACACATTTTTACGACATGCATATCGCGGATAAACTTATTGTGTTTTCGAAGGTCCTGCTGCTTTTCTAGCCTTTGGGAATATTCCTCCCGCCATTGGTGATATTTCCCAAGCATGGTAGCGGACCGACCTTTTGCCCGGTCCGGTTACCATGCTTGATATTTCCTCGCATCTTACATTCTCTTTTTACCAACAATTATTTATACAGATTAATTTTTACAAATTGTTAAAAAGTTTATAAAGAAAGTGGAAATATTTTTAAAGTTCGTTGAATTTTAGGAGGTTGTTCATGATTAGACAAGTGTTCCATAACATGCGCTCGATTTGCCGAATTTTACCGGGTGAGTCATAAGTTCTTGCCCGCGGTTTTTTAAGTATAAATCGTTTATTCTTAAACGTAAGACAGGCATGTAATATACCAAAATAAAGGTAAGAGTGTTTGCTATAATACTGTAATCAAGTTGGTTTTACTGCTAACAATTTAAGTTTTTTTAAGGCTGTCAAACATCAGAAGTTTTGACAAATTATGGAAGTGGAAAATTTTTTCACATTTAAGCGATTTTTTCTTTTCTAGTGTACCGGTGGTCCATGATGTTATACCATTTTGAAATCCTCAGACCCTCCTGCATATAACAAAACTTTCAGCTGTGTGACCACCTTTTAATAAAATCCCGCTTTGGGGACTTTTCCGTCGGGTAACCTACGGCCCTCAACACTTGCAGCATTCTAACCCTAAATTTTGATTATCGGTAAAGCAGTGTCAAAAATCCAAATATGTGTTTTGTAGTACTCTTTCAGGGGAACATTTTGAGGGATAAGTTGCCCAGTATCTGTTTTGAGTGCAATAAAAATAACCAAATTTGTGACTGACACAAGGTAAATTTTTGGTCCAAAACCGGTGTTTTTTTTGGTATTGAAATGCGAAGTTGATCAATTTTAAACATTCATAACTCTCGATCCTGACCAAAAAATATTCTAAAAAATATGTTGTACTACTCAGTCTTCTGTAACACATATTCTGTCGGCTTGCCTCTATCGTGTCTCTGCGCCGAGAACGGGATCGAATTACGCCGAAGCAACTTGCGGCCTTGGAGGCCCTTGTCTCAAATCACTTGAATCCCAGTATCAAACGAGAAGAGGTCGTTTAGAGAAAGCGTGAATGTATTCTTGTAACACACAATCATACCTTCATTTTGGTATATTACATGCCTGTTTTACGTTTAAGAATAAACGAGTTATACCTAAAGGGGAAGAACTTATGACTCACCCGGTAATTTTTGAATAGATTAAAATCAGGGTTTTGTTGCTCAACATGCATTTCATATAAACATTTTATAAACAAACAAAAAGCATTAAATCAATTGTTCATGTACTTTTTCGCAAAAATATCAATCGTCTTTAACTATTGCCAAAATAGAGTGAAGAAAAAACCAAGTTCCTACCGCGATTCGAACGCGGATTTTCGGTTCCGGAGACCGACGCCTTATCCATTAGGCCATAGGAACACTGTTCGCTTACTCCATTCGCGTGTCCTAAGTCCTGTTATCTTGGGCCCACAGAGAGCAAACCTGGACGTAGTGGAAAAATCTGGCTTAAATTTATTATTGATTTATCAAATTAATAATTACTATGAACTTATTTGGTGAACAAATTCTTGAATATACTCTTTAAGAAACTATATTTTGAATGTGATCTTCAATTTTTTATACAAAAACTGAAGCCGTATTTTAGGAAAAATCAAGGATCAAAAGTAATACTAGCATAAAAAGATGACCGGATATAGGGTTTATCCGAAATTTACAGAATCATGGCTACAATTCCCAAGAAAATGTAAAATGCGGTTCAGTCATTCAGACGAAATCAAGTCTTCAATCAATGCCCATTATCAAAAGAACGTCAACCAGAAAAGTGAAATTTGTTAATTTTTCTTGAAGACATTTAGAAAATTGAAAAAATCAATTAGGTGAAACAAAAGTTTTTAGTCCCTACCCAGACTCGAACTGGGATCGTCGGTTTAGGAGACCGACGCCTTATCCATTAGGCCATAGGGACGCTGCGTGACATTGTTTTGAAGCTACATGATATGTTTGTTTATGGCTCTGAGTTTTTGTCAGCTTTCGTTCTTGCATAAATAAAATTTCATGAATTGTACTTAATTATTTGACATATTGTATAAAAAATAAATTTAACTAAGAAATTGCTTTCGAAAATTGTCTCCTAAAATTCGCCAGTAAACATTGCCAAATTCTACACATATTTTCCGATGCCTGTCTACAACAAAATTGGGCATCAATGGATAATGCTGCCTTTGCGTAACGACAAATTCATTGAAAAGAATGGAACAAAATATCCTATAGTCTATTGTGAAATACCTTATCTGGTTGTGTAAACGGTTTTTACACAAACGGATACAGAAAAAGACAGTAAATCTATATCAGGACATTGTCGGCCTTGTATTGATGTCTCATGTCTCATTTACAAAGGTCAAAGTTGAATAAAAGCCCAAGAGAGACGACGAAATCTGAATGAGTCTGAAGGGCTTATTTTTCTATCGCTTCCCGATTTAATATATAAATTGTATACTTAAATCGAAAAACAGTACACACATACTTCCTTCTAATTAGCGCCCTGCGGAATAAGAACCCCATTAGTTAAAGGGATGGCGATAATGTTTCTCACAAATAATCACACAAGCACTGTCAGTAATATGACTTAGCACGAAAACTGTTGGGGAAAAGTGTAAGCAAACTTTATCGGAAATCATAGTCCTCTAGCGTAGTTTTCCAATTATATCAGATCAAACTAACGATGATTTGTGATGATATATTTAATGAGCGACTGGTTTATTGAATTATGCATGAACACTTGAAGAAATCAATTAACACAATTACAAAGACTACACAGTAGTCAATCGGCTCGACCACAAAAGGATGAGTTAAAGAGGAAATCGCTCAAGAAGCCATGCCGATTCCATATAAATATTCACATCTGCGCCCGGTATTTTCGGCCAGCTCAAGTCGAGTTTTTCTTTAATCTCCTTTTCTGTGATTTGCTTTGCTTGGAGCGCTTCATTGGTGTGAGCATTCTCAAGATAGAAATCCAAATTTTCCTCATCCGTAGTATGTGGTATGTGAAACACTTTCATGAGTACTCGCAAGCGACAGGTGCTCGTAGATTTCAAAAATTCCTGAAAATATATCTGGTGAGATCAAATTTTATATACTGCATCTAGCTCGGGACTGATTTATCATTCCTGACATAAGATAACATTCAACAGGTAGAGATCCGTTAGCCGTGTGACTACCCAGTCACCTACCCATTCCATTCAACTGGGGCCGGTTAGGTGGGTAAGAGGAGTAAAGGAATAAACTCCATTCATCTCTAAAGAGGCAAGATCCGTATAGTGTTTGTATTTATACTCTCGGTATGCACAAGTATGAAATTTGTAGGAGCGGAGTAGGGTTTGGTTCGCCAAATCAAGCCGTGTAACCTTATGTCTACTGTTGTAGTTAAAAAGAAAACAAACCTGCCGAATAGCCTCGAATATAGGGTCCGCCTCATCACTATATGTCGAAAGCACAATAGTTGTGTCGCTCTGCGGGAAGGCGGTCTTCTCTCTAATCATGTCTGCTGCTAGATCACCGTTCGTATCCCACAGGTACTCAATGACTGGGACTGAATATACATTGCAATAATGCCCAAAATCACCATTGTCATGCTGATGGTAATGAATATACCAACAGCCCGACAACTGAAGAATGCGACACTTCATTATTGCCGAGTTGCTGAACATTAGGCCAAAAGAGCCTGGCTGGTATTCAAGTAGCTTACCTGGAAAGGAAAATATGTTTTAAATGGTATAAATTATGCCAGAACAATTCTGTTCGTAAAAGAATTTTCCAGTTAACTTTTAGAAACCTTTAAATTCCAGGATGGTTAAAATCCAAAAGGTTATAACTCACTCGTGATACGCAACATTTGACCGGACCACACATGGGATATAGATTCCAACGCGGCAATGTGTTTCAAAGTGTACGTTGTGTCGGTAGTATCGTCATTGACAACGACAAAAACCTGCTTGAAGAGAACCTTTTCGTTTAGGAATGGTCGCATGACATCAATTGGATACGTATGTTTGCAGTCGTCGTCATTTGAGTGGTTTATCCATTCTCGAGATTGTGGCACAAAGCACTCATTTGAATAAAATGTCCATTGGCGATGTTCCCCTCGGCGAATCGACAGAATTAATTCTCCATTTTGAACTTCAGCTTTCATTACTACTGAATCGGGAAGTAAGCGAAGAGGTTTCGCAACAAAATCTCGTTTGATTATGCCGTTTATTGCCCGATTTGTCAGCTAAAGTCGACCTCTTTATAAATTTAAAAACCGCTGTTAACCTTTTTTATTTTTGACACATTATGCATTTTTCACCTAGTGCTAAAATTTATTTTTATTAAAATTTCGTTTTTAATCTAAAACACTGACAACTTAATCCAAACAGTTTCTGAAAAATATTTAAATTAAAACTAATCTCTCTTTTATCGCGGCTTACAAATTACTGTAAAGCTCGCTTAAGAATAAGTAAATAAGTATCACAGATTCTTACGCCTAAGTCGATTTGAAGCTACACTACAAAATTGGCTGTCGCAAGGTGCTAAAGTTTTTGACGTAAATAATTGAATTTACCTGGATTTTTTCCAATCTATCGCGATCCAAGCATTTCAGAACATCCAAAAGAACATAAACCGGAAGCATTTTGGAATATATCAAGGATAAGCTTCTTTAGTAATCCAAGTATATGTTGTGTACTAGTTGTTGTTTAATTAATTTAATAGACCTGTTAGTTGTTTACGAAAAGCAATAAAAGAGTTGTTGATGAGATGGCGTTGTATTATTTGGCGCAAATTCAAAAGTTATTTTATTGTAAATAAATGCGCAGATTAGGTACTTGCAGTCTATTGCCTTAATTTGGAAGGCTTAAAAAGAATAGCTTACAAGGAACACTCACTTGAAGTCGCACCGATCCCGGAAAACGCGATGGATAGGAATTTACCCCACCTTGTGGGCATTCGAACGGTACCAGACTTTTTTCCCGATGCACCTTGAAAAAAAAGTTCTATTCACCTTGGCTGACACCATTGACCCTTGGCCGATTGACCTTTGCACCAAATTTCTGGTTAAGGATCAATACTCCTCATTTATCCCACACCGTTTACGTTGTCTCTTTTCTGGCATTTTATAAGAACTCCGCTTCCCGGTCACGGAGAATTTGCTTAAAAGTAAAATTACTTGACCCTCACAGAAAGTTCTAACTAACCTCACGTATTATCTCCAATGCATCAAGCATCACATCCTGATGAGTGCCGGGAAACAAAAACATACAATCACTCTGAGGGAACTTCGCTTTGTTTCTGCTTAAGACGACTATTTCATCTGCCAATATTCGCCAAGTATAAGAAATAGCGTGTAACGCATATAAGGCAGGATATTTTCGAGAGTTCTCAACAAAGTTAGTTCGGTCACCATATACGTCCAAAATGCGGCATCGCAACATATTCGAGTTACTTAGTAAAGGGCAAAGAGCGTTTTCTTCCGTATATACAAAGTCTGTTATGGCCAGATGTTGCTCAGACCAAATATGGGCAATGGATTCCAACTCGGTAATGGCCTTTGAAGAGTAAAGCTCGTGAGAATCGATAATGATTTTTGTCCTTTGAAAGCGGACGCATTCGGCAAGGAATGGGTGCATTTGGTCCAAGGTATACTTGTGTTTGCACCTATGCCACATGTTGCATTTCTGCCAACCAGCTCGGACGCTGAGTGCAAGACATTCGTCAGTACAACTTTTTCGTCGGTGAATTGTTAGAAGCAACTGGCCACCTTTGATATAAATTCCCAGATAGCTGTTGCCAACAACACGTAAGGGTTTGAGCGAAAAATCACTTCTGATGAGGATATTTAGCGTTCGAGTTGTCCCCTAAAATAGGATATGTTTGAAATTGATATTTTATGCCTTAGTTCTTGTAAATTATTTTTGGCCATATTTTACGCAATTTTATCCTGGATGTAGAGTTATCGCTCAAGACAAAACTACGTCTTGCTAATAAAGTGTATCGTGAGATTTGAAAAACGAAAACTACGCGAATGATCTTTGGCACTTTACTCAGGTCAAGACTGTAACCAGAAAATTTGGGTAAGAAATGTAAAACGCAATTTCCAAGGGTGGATTTTTCCACACATTATTCCGGAGCCTTGTTTTTGGGAAGGAAATCAGGTGCGATTCTTTCAGGACATTTTACCATATGAATACTAAATGTACCTGAATTCTCTCTAGCGCATCTCGACTCATACACTTCAGGATATCGATGAGGACGTAAGCCGGAAGCATTCTCACGTTGTGTGAGTTAGTAGAACTGAATTAATGACAAATAGTGCATAATGAAACATAACAGTAACACGGAAAAGTAAAAATGGATAATATTATTTATGCAAAAATGTAAGGAATTGAGTCTTCATATCCATGTCTTGATTAAAATTATGTACGTCACTTCTTCATTCAAATATAAAACTCAGAAAACCTTTTATTTTTTATGGTGCAATATATTAAAATTACGACATATTGAGACACAATAAACATATGCACAGAAATATTTTGGGTTTTAGCTGAATTTTTGGTCATAACCCAACTAAAGTTTAGTCGTTATATAATTTCGGAAACTAGTCCCAGGCCGAGACTAACAGTTTGGATATTTCTGGAAACTCTTTCTAGTTAACATTTTAAGAATTACTCGAGCTATCATTACACTAGAGCTGAGTTACGACCAAAACCCATTTGCAAACCAAAATCTAAGTAGTGATTTAGAATCCCGCAATATTCCAGCCCGCATTGCATCAATTCTGAGCCGTAATTCTTTCGAGGATTAACGCCTGTCCGTCAACACCGTCAACAATTGAAGGACTGCAATCATTTGTGTATTCGTATAGAACGACATCCAACTTTTGTTTAGCCTCCTGCTTCGTTATATGATTCAATTGGAGCACTTCTTTTGTGC